GTTTGTCCTCGACGCGCTTAGTGGGCGACGCCGACACCAAGGCAAACCTGCGGCAAGCCCTGCGTCCCGCGCCCCAGGTCGACGCAGCCTGCGCCGCGGCAAACCCACGGCAGACTCTGCTCCAAGGGCGGAGTTTGTTTGCATTGGTGGCCGAGGCGCACTCCCCAAGACGTGAGGCCGCGCGTCGGAACAAACGTCGCAGGGACACATCGCTGACAAACGCGCGAACATTCAACTTAACGACGCTTGCGTCCGCAAACCGTGTCCAAATAACTGGTCTCGTTTTCCGCGTGAACAGGTTCACCATTTGCTGTCGCAGTAACATCCCATTGGCCAGGACATTCCTGCATGTTCAATGTTCGTTTGCCCGCTGTGGGCAAGACTGCAGATCAAAAACAAAAAAAACTAGCGATTGGCTGCTGCAGAGATAACTCTGGAGAGCTGCTGCAAACAGCTGCGACAGGTTGCTGCTGGTAACAGGAAGGCAACGTAGTTCCTGCTGAAGAAATTCTGAAAGCAAGGGTGGCCACCCGCTTCAAGCAGACGTGCGAATGCGAGCTATCGTCACCTGCAACGGGCAGACCGAGGTCGCGGGCAGCACGCCCGAATCGCGACCACGGAGGGTTATCCCTCGACGGCGGCACACGATGACGTGTGGATCAACTGTCGAGCGGTAACAGAATTTTGGCTGTACTCTTGTCGGCGACCGACTCGCAACTCGGCGAAACTAACGGAACGACGCCGGCAAGTATAACATCCTGCATATGTGGGAGAGGCAACAGATTTCTGGTCTGCAGGCGAGTTCGGCGCCACGGCCGTTCTCAGGGACGCAGGGGGAACGGGGAGGGCCAGGCATCACGGTGCGGGCAAGACGGGGCCTGCCCTCTCGACCGAGACCGGCTCTCGGCCCATGCTTCCTGCCGGACACTGTGCCGGCGGCGAGGCAGCAGGCAGAGTGCGCAGAAAGGGAAAGGCGCCTCCAGCCGAGACGGGGGGCAGGCCGATGCAAGCCAGGGAGCGGCCAGGAGGGGGGCGTCCAGGAGGGGGGGTCACAAGCCATGTCCCGAGGCCTGTGCGCGGACTGTTGGGAATCATGGAGCGCATTGAAAGAAGACGACATGCAAACGAGATCCTGGGAGATATCATGGCCCCCGCCATGACACCCACCTACTCGAATCATCACCCCCATCTTGGCCGCGCCCCGCAAGCGGGAGGCTTCTCCAGAGGCGGGGGAGGGGTCTGCACAAGGGGATCCCCCGGATCAGCCGACCCCGAGGGCGGGTCAGAAAAACACTTAGCCAGCGCTCCGCGAGGGCGGAGAGGAGGCGGGAGGACGGGCGGGAGGGCGAGCCGGGGCGAGGCGTGGTCGAAGCAGGCATGCTGAAGAGGCAGGCAAGCGGGCGGCGAGGCCCGAGGACGATGCAGCAACGGGGGGGCCAGGATGCAGGGGGAGCAGGAAGGGCACGAGGACCAGAGGAGGGCGGGGCGCGCGGGACGCTCAGCGCCTCCGCTGCAGCGCGCGCGGCCGTTGCAGGCCCTCCTGGCCGCTCGGCGAGGGCCCAGCGCCGCCCTCACCGTCGTCGCCCCGACCGCTGTCGCTGCCAGCCCCTGGGCCCTCGCCGCCGCCACCTTTCCCTCCGAGCGCCTCCGCTGCCTCCGCGGGGCCCTGCGGCGCCTTCGCGGGCAGGCGTGCGCACAGCGCCCCTCGGCTGCCGCCCGCGCCCGGCGCGGGGCGTCCCGACCCGACGCCGCGCGCGGGCCCGCCGTGCAGGAGCGTGGGCAGTGCCGCGCCCCGCTCGCTCTCCGCGCGGGCCCCGGGCGCACGCCCCGGCTCGGGCAGGACCTGCGCCTCCTCCTCCTCCTCCTCCTCGGGCGGGGCCCTGCAGGTGATCTCCGCCTCCTCCCCCTTCTTGGGCAGGACCTCCGCCTCCTCCTCCTCCTCCTCCTCGGGCAGGGCCCTGGTGATCACTGCCGCCGCCAGCTGCCTGGAGAGCCTGCGGAGCTCCTCCCCCCCGAGCTCGCTGCCGCCGCCGCCCTGCTCTGAGAGCGCGCCCGTGGCCAGCGCCTCTCCGGCCTGCGTGCCCGAGGCCTCGTCGGGGTGCCTCGGGCCGGGGCCGCTCTCAGCCGCCGCCGCCGCCGCCGCCGCCGCCGCCGTCGCCGCCGTCGTGGCATCTGCCCGGGACGCCTGACGATCGCGTCCTCCCCGACCGCGGCGTCGCCGCCCCGCTCTCGCAGCGCGTCCGCGGCCCGCCCGCTGCCCTCTGCGTCCGGACGCCTCGGGGCCGCTGCCGTTGCCGCCGCCGCCGTCGCCGACCTTGCCGCCACCGCCTCCTCCGCCATCGCCGCCGCCTCTGCCGCCGCTTTTGGCTCGCGGTCGTCGTCTTGGCCGCCCGGCGGGCCTGGCGGCCTGCTCGGCGCAGGGCCGCTCCGGCGCCTCTCCGCCCGCGCCCGCGCGCGGCTCTTCCGCCGCGCCGTCCACAACTGGCAGCTGCCACCTCATCGACCGGGGGGCCTGGCGGCCCCTCCTGCCCGCCTGCGCGGGGGGGGGGAGAAGGCAGTGCGGCAACAACGGGGCAGAGAGATGAGGGAGCAGGAGGGAGGAGGCTGAAGGACTGGGGGAGGAGGAGGGAGCATGAGGAGGGGGGGGGGGGCAGCATGAGAAGGGAGCATGAGGAGGGATCCCCTCCTGCCCGCCTGCGCTGGGTGAGGGGGGGAAAGTGCGGCAACAACGGCTGGCGGGCGGCGGCTGAGAAGCAGTTGGAGTCAGGGGCCCCTGCAGCGGGGCGGAGGGGCAGGCAAAACTCCCAACCCAGGGGGCCAGCCTTGGGTCGGGCATGTCCAACTAAAGGTGGATCTTGGAAGACACAGGCCTCAAGGACCCGGCCGCAGGGGGGGAGAAGGGAGAGAAGGGATAGCGTGGGCAGACACGCCGTCAGCTCATACCTCGTAGAGCATGGAAGCGTACGGAAGGAATCTGCGGGAGGAGTAAGAGTAGGGAGGACGCAGGAGGGGGGGTGGAGGAGGTGGAAGGAGGAGGAACGAGGAAAAAAGGCGGACAAGGAGCGATAAGATAAGACACGACTATGGGCCCGCATCCCTCTGTCCTGCTGGCACAGCCGCTGCGGAACGGACAGACCGCGCGCTCTGCGTCCATATGATAATGAATGAAGACAGGAGGGGGGTGAAGGAGGTGGAAGGAGGAGGAACGAGGAAAGGAGGTGGACCAGGAGCGAGAGGGCGAGGAGAAGGTGGAGCGAATGAAGACAGGAAGAAAAGGAGAAGGCGGAGGAACGGCAGAAGGCCGGAGGAGAAAGACAGGGGGACACGATTGAGGCTGCCCGCCTGCAGCCGCGGCGCGCCCGCCGGCGGCGCCATCTCGCTCAGCACGTCCACGGGCAGGTCGGAGAGGGAGTCCCGGCGCACGCCGTCGCCACCGAGGGGCCAAGGAGGGGGTCGTCGCCATCCTCCTCCTTCCTCCTCCGCCTCCTCCCCCACAAATACTTCACATGACCACTGCAGTCGTCGTTGCCGCCGTCGTCGTCGTCGTCGTCGTCGTCGTCGTCGTCGTCGTCGTCGTCGTCCTCGTCGTCCTCGTCCTCGTCCTCGCCCGCCGTCGTCGTCCTTGTCGTTATCGTCGCCGTCGTCGTTCAGGGTCGGCGGCACCGGCCGCAAGGCCTCTCCAAAAGCTACTGCTGCCCTCTCTCCCCCAGAGACGGCAAGGGAGCAGCCTGCCCCCCCCCCCTCTCCGCGCACGGCTGTCTTGCGAACAGGACTTCCTCTGTCGGGTCATTCCTGTGGCTGTCGACAGCCTGGTCGTCATCGATCCTTCAAAGTGTCGCCGCCGCTGCTGCGCGGGCTCTGATCTCGGGATCGGCAGTCTGCCCCCGTCGTTCAGAATGACACCCTCGCCCCGGCGCGGGCCTCTCTTCTGGACCCGAGTCGCTCATCGTCGTTGTCGCCCCCTGCTTTCCCCTCCTCTGCCTTCCCCTGGTCCTCCTTCTGCTCCAGCTCCTCCCGCTCCTTCTGCTCCAGCTCCTGCTGCAGCTGTTCGTCCTCGTCCTCCTTCTTCCTCATCTTCCTTTTCGTACTGCCCATCCTCCTGCCCATCCGCAACCTCCTTCTCCTCCTCCTCCTCCTCCTCCTCCTCCTCCTCCTCCTCCTCCTCCTCCTCCTCCTCCTCCTCCTCCTCCTCTTCCTCTTCCAATGTGCACAACACTCCCGTTTGCGACTGGGCATGAAACGTTGGAGCCCTTTGGAACTCCAAGTCCGCTTTGACACGCGTCCGCAGATAGAGAATAAATCAGCGCCGTGGGAAGGGATGTGTGGGAGATGGGTAGGATGTAAGATATGGCGCGACCGCAACTAACATGTCCTTCGCTCTCTTCCCCCTCCTCCACCTCCTCCTCCTCCTCCGCCTCCTCCTCCTCCATATTGGAGCCAGCAGCGGTGTAGCATGGCCATGCGTGCGGCTCTCGGGGGAGTGCGGTGCGACCCTACGCCACCATGAACCTTGGAGCGGAGAGACATGCACATGCGGTCCCACGCCTGCACGCGAGCATTTCTAACTTATTAAGTGTCTGCTGCCAAGAGGCTTAAGTCTGACGTGGAAGGGAAACATCATACCTACCCCCTCCCAGCGTCTCGTGGTGGCCCTTGGTGGCCACAGACATCGTGGAGGCCGCAGCCTGGCCTCCATAAACCAACTCCTGCGACCGACGGCTTGCCGAGACAGCCGCCTCCCTCCCGAGACCCCAGGGCCGGCGTCCCGCCTGCCCCCGTGGGACCCACTCCGGCCACGTTCGGGCCCGACGGGCCGCGCCGTTCGTGGACAAGCAGCCGCTGATGTCCACGCGCCCTCTCCTCCTCCTCCTCCTCCTCCTCCTCCTCCTCCTCCTCGTCCTCCTCCTCCTCCTCCTCCTCCTCCTCCTCCTCCTCCTCCTCCTCCCTTCTTGCACCTCCCCTTCCACCTTCATCCCGCCTCTTCCCCTCCTCCTCCATCCCCCCTCCCCTCCTCCCTGCGTCCCTCAAGATCTCCCCTGCGCTCTTTCCTCCGCCCTCACTCCTCCCGAGCTCGCGAGGAGGCCCGCCAATTACCGAGTCCCGTCTGGGTCCTGACGAGGTGTTGGACAGTCGGCGGTGGACAAACCTTTCGTTAGTCAACCTCCACTTCGTGAAACAAGCCTGGGACCGCAACCGGCGGACCTGGACCCGCAAACATGACGGCCGCGACGCCCTCTCGTGAACCGAAGACGGCCGATTCGCGAATCGACGTGACAGGGCAGGAGCCTATCAGCCTGCGAGACAAGGCGGGGGGCCTGCGCCTTGTCTGGCGACGCCGCGCCCCCTGCGCGCCGACCCGCGAGCGTTGTCCCGGAGCAGCCGCGCTCGGCCCCGGGTTTTTGGCGAGGCCCGGGGGCCCTCCCCGAGACGCTGCCCAAAGCGCCTGCCGCACTCTTCTGGCACGCGGGCGCGCGAAGACGAGTCGAACGCCGTGCAAGCTGAGGCGGGCCCGCGCCGTGGCAGAGGAGAGAACAGCGAAGCGAGCGGCGCCCAGCTCAGAGCGGAACGGGGCTCAGCGCGGCCATCGTGGCGCGGGAGGCGGCACACATCAGGCGCCTGCCGCACGCGGTCCGCCACAAAAGTTCGCCGCTGTCCCGCTCGGCCCCTGTTCCTTCCGTCTTCGCGGCTCTCACGGGCCGTCTGGGCGCCGTTCGTGGTTGACGGCGCGTCCCGCGAGTTGGTCTGGGACCCGCCCGCTGGCTATGCTTCTGTGGCCACTCATGGGAACCTCCCATACCCTCTTGCAGGCTCTCGTGAACCGACACAGGCCGACGCTAATCGACTCTGAGTCGACTCTAAGTCGACGTGAACCGACGCTAATCGATGCTAAATCGGCGCTATGCCATCGGTTACCTGACGCGAATGGACGCTCGTCGACGCTATCGACGAAATGAAGGGAGCTTACAAGGCTCCCATGATAATGAACGTTTTTTTTTTCATTCGGCGTTTCGACATTGGGCGGAAAGAGGGGGGCTCCGGACTTCTGCTTAGCGCAACTGTTTGCAACAGTGCGTCCGATGGGGGAGGGGAGGGACTCCGCCTAATCGAAACGGGCGCCAGAAGCGGCCAAGATCTACTCCATGGGGGGGAGGGGGGGAGGGAGAGGGGGGTGCGAGGGCCCGCGCCGATCGGCAAGACAAGGAATAATACAGCGATCACATCTGTCACCGAACTATATGGGAATCCATTATATCGGGGGCGGCCAAGAGGGGGGCGTTCAAAAAGAGGGGTGCGCAAATCACGGCCAGCGGCATGTGCGCGGTCCAGGGGGGGGCCAGGGACGTAATGAAATAAGAAGAGGAAACATGAAATCGGAGGAAATATCATGGCCCACGCCATGAGATCCCCCCCTCCTAGTCATCACTCCCCTCTCGGCCGCCCCCGATGATAGTGGTGCTGGCCTCTTCGGCCCAGGGATGCGGCCTTCCTGCAGCCGCTCGCGGGCGGCCTCACGGCGGGCTGGGCGCAGGGGCGCGGCCTGCACGGCGTGCACTGCGAGCTGTCATGGGGGCCCGTCCGCCGACAAGCGTGAGGATGGCACGGATGTGGCTTTGCCGCGTTCCTGCTCGCAACGCACGCCGCCAGAGGCGGCGGAGAGCATGAGAAATCCACCTACCAAGAGCGCAGGAGCCCGAGCGTGGAAGTCTCGATGCACCGACCTTGCAGGCGTGCTGCAGCGGATGTGTGCGCGGATTTCGGTCCGTGCAAAGCCCCGAGTCAGCGAGCGAAAGACGAGGTGAATTTCGCGTGGATTTTGTTTAGTCTTGATTCCTGGCCAACAAAAAAGATCCGCACGAAATTCACCTCGAAATCCGGAACGAAATTCTCGAGGTCACTCCGGGCCCATCCATCGTTTTCCGGGCGAAATCCGCTCTGTGATGCAGGTCCCATGAGAAGTCACCACGGAGGTGAACGAGTACTCTTTGAACAGGGGCGAGCTGTCGAGGTGGTGCTCCGTTAGGCCTGCCACGGAATGTCCTTATATTCGGTGCGACGCGTTCCAGAAGAACCAGAAGCGGTGCTCCCGAAACGAGAAGCCGACGCGTCCAGTCAAGGCCGCCTCAGTCGGGCGTGTTCTACGAATGTCTTATGCATACCACGGCGGGTTCAGAACATTCTTGGACCAAGAATGTTGTGAACCCTCGGACCTAGGACTAGGACGCTCGCTGGACCACATGGTGGGATAATGAGCAGACCAGGACGCTTCGTCACCACTTCAACGTTACGTCCACGGTCCGGCAGGAACTCTACCCGGCCCTCGGCCTCGAGGGCAGCTGGGCACGCGAGCGCTCGGCGCAGCCCCGAGGGGGCAGGGCCGCCTCGGGCGGCCGCGGCCGCGCGGCTGCTGGCGGCGCTCGGCGTCAGCACTCGCCGCTGCTGTGTGCGCGATCCTTGGCCCGTTGGCAAAACGATCACCTGTGACCTCAGGACCACACAGCC